CCAGCTTCCCAAAGAGACCTTATTGATTTTATGGGCGCATGGGCAGAAACCTGTCAGGAGGGGTTTGTCACCCCTTTTTGCAAATCCAGCTTTCAAAAGCAGTGATTGATAACCACCTTTTACAGTGTGCAGAACCTAGGATTAGCACCCCAACCAATAGATGCTCAGACAAGGGAAGTTTTGGGGCAAAAGGTTGGTGGGGGGTGGGGGGGTGTGCTGAAAATGAGCATATTTGCCAAAATACATGTAGTTTTTTTTTTTGCTGCAGCAAGATTGTGAATTGACATAACTTCCCCTCTCAGCACAGAGGCACCCCAAAGGCATGCAAAGGGTTTGTGGCAGAAAGTGTTTCTGCTTGGCCATCTGGGCTCCTGTGCCTGAGAGGAGATTTGGCTAACCCTGAACATGATGCCATCTGCCAGATCCATCCACTTCTCCTTTGCTATCTGTGTAATACTCCTTTTATGTACCCACAGCAAATGGCAGACCACCTGTGTGTTTTATCTTTTAAAAAGAAACTCCCAACATGGCTGGCTCTGAAATGCAGGATTAGTCGTGGAAAGTTTTCTTCTGGACACAATGGGTTATGTTCCCAATGTCCAAAGTTGAAGGTGTACAAAGATCCACGCCTGGATTTAATTCATGCTGAGGCCATGGATGGCTCAGGCAAGAACGCATGCGATTGATTGTATATTTATAAGCTCCATGTCTGTTTTACTGCACTGACAGTAGGATGCAATTGTGCTAGGTGCTGTACAAGCAAGATGAGAGAAAACCATTTTACATTGAAATACAGCTTTTTGTGGCTGGAAGTGCCAGTGGTTATTTCCACTCAGACCGAACGTTTTTGCCACCATTGCCTCTCTTTTGAGGGTATCTCTCTTTATATTGAGTGCCAGTCTCATCCCAGATTTTCCAGGCTCCAGGGGTAGATGAAGTGTGTTATTTGTCAAGCTGACGGGAACATGAGCTGCCTTTCAGACGAAAAGCTATTCAAGGGAAATGACACCACCAATGCACTCTTTGCTGCAGAACCAGCAAACTCACATTGCTACTTGAAATTAAAAGAGTGAAGCATCACAAATCACCCAAATTCCTAGACATTGGAGAACCAGCCAAGTCCTGGATTCTCATGCACATTTTGGTTAGAGCTGTGAGCAAGCAGACTTTCTTTTTTGAGCAATTCCTCTAGAGCTAGACAGAGTTTTGTTTAGAACAAAATTATCAGTGTTTGATGACACATATCTTACTTTCATCACAGCTATTTACTTATTCACTTCCCATGATTAATGGGATAGCAAATGATGAATGTTTAATGGAGGGCACTCCACAAATGGTCAACACAGCTGCAAAATATTTAATGCTTCAGAGCAAGCAATGTACCTGGGAACATCCCTTCCCTTGCCCTTGTATTTCTTTTTTTCTCCCATCCCTTGTGCTGTATGCCATGGGAGTCTCTGGCTGTGCCTTGTCAATTGCTCTCCCAGCCCTGATTATGGTACAGTGGTGGGCATGGATGCCAATATGATAAATGTAAATTTGGGATTTTTTGAAGGGGAAGGAAGGAGACTAGAGATAGCTCTGATTATAATTCAGTCTTCCTAGTTGCTGGTGCAAGAGCATTTTATCCTGTGTCTCTTTACATGGTACTAATTGTAGCTTTGCACACAGACTATTTGTGTTTATTAAAGCGGCTTTATGGGATAAGCACCTTCAACAAAATTCAGGCATGCACAATGAGGTTAATTTGTGGGTGCTTCAACGACCCTGAGAGACTCATAAGGAAATTTATTGGTTCTAGCGTTGTTTGGCAGCTGCTCATCCACCTACTCCTGTTATTTGGCTTTTCTCTTCTCGGTCCTTTCCTCCATACTACTCCCCTGTGTCCCTGCCTGCCATTGCTTCCCAGAAAGAGAGAGGCCAGACCGCTCCATGGGGAGGAGTCTGCCTATAAGGTAAAGGCACCGCCAAGCAAAACTCAATGACTAGTTAGGGTATCGTGCAGCCAAGGAGCTGAACGGCTTCTGCCTGTTGAGATGTTATAATTCCCATTGACTTGCTGCTTACTTATTAAGCTGTATTTGAATCCTGTGGCTTAGACCAGAGAGCATATTTTCTACAGACAGTTGACTTAGTGAGTAGCAAGGTTGGCAAGCTACCAAGGGAAGTTGAACAAAAAGGTGATTCTCATTCTCCAAAGGCTGCAGAGCTGACAGCTGATAAGGTGCCAAGAACTTCCTAGCTCTCACAGATCTAGACTCCAAATGCACAGGACTCCTGAGGAATTTAGGAGTCTCTGTTAAGCCTGTTAAATCCCCCTGATGTTTCTAACAATAGCTTAGATTTTATCACTAATAAAAAGAAAACTTGCAGTTCCTTGGATTTAGTCCATCTTATCTCAACAGCTGAAAAGAGCTTGGGTAAAAGAATAAAAAACAAGTTTCATTTCTTTTTCCTTTCTTTTTTTCCTTCCTATCAGTGTATTAAGCCATTCTCTTTGGGTCAGTCCAAAACAGACAAACACTCTGACATTTCAAATACTCTTGAGCATTTGAGATGCAGTGATTCAGAGGGTTAATGCTCTGGGACTGTGGGCACTCCTGTCACTGAATAGGGGCAGCCGCAGCAGTTGTGCATTGAGCTCCTCAGCTATTCTGTCTGTAGGAGTGGGAGTGGTGCCACTGGCACTGATGACAGCTCAGGTTAATTGAAGAGGGGACAGGCTGTGACTCTTTGACTGCCTGTGCCGTAGACCAGCAGCTGAAGATCAGAGCAGGCACCTACAAGAGATACCAGAGGAGCACAGAGTCACGGTATGGTTGATGTTTGAAGGAAACTGAATGCACAGATTTACTGGCAGCACTATTAAAACAAATAAAACCCCTCCCTGTGAATCTTCTGTTCGCTTCTGTGCCTCCTGCATCCTCTTCCCAGATATCTGCCAAAGTGTTGCTAGTTTTTCATGAGGAATGTTTCATCAGGAAATTAAACCTTGGCTATTACAGTTCACATGTTAAAGGCTCATGCCAGTTAGTTTAACCACCACAAAAAATGTGTCCTGCTCCTATGGCAAAGAGGAAGGTGAGGAAGAAGATTGTCTTAGGAAAACCCTCCCCAAGCCTATTGTGAAATCCATTTGAAAAGGGTGTTTACATTGCATTTAGAGCAGCATTTGATTAATATAAAACAAAGAAATAGCCACAACTGTTCAAGATGAAACTCTGGAATGACTTTTCAAACAACTTGCTATGATGAGGTTGATCCATCTATATAGAAGCACAATCTTGGAGACTACGGGAGGGGTTTAAACTTGGAGTTTAGAAACATTTCCTGATATTTTCTTTCCTTTAGTTAGAAAGAGGAAAAACCCCACAGCCATAAAGGACAACAGAAAACCACACTAGTTTCTTTTGGGAGTTTGCTTTATTTTTAGAAGCCTGACTGACCTCCAAATGTTTGAAGTAAAATGTTTACATGAATATTTTAGGAGCACTGCTTTTTGCTACTGTCAATTCCAATTCTGCTTCAAGAACTGTAGTCATGGGCATCTCTTACTCTAAGGAACAGAGCAGGATTTCAACCCTAGTCTGAGGAGCTGAGCAAACAGGCTGGGTAACTTACTCTAGTATCTATTCAGTAAACAACCTAGGTGTGTGCATAAAGCTTAGCATGTGCATGAACGACACCAGGCTCTATTAGAATGCTGGCTGCATTCCAGTGTTTCCGGATCTGTTCTGTTTACATATGCATTATACACATTTGTTGTATATGCAATGCATTCACACACATATATAGCTATATATACAGACACTTGCCTGTTGGGTTACTTCTGTGTAGTATCGCTATTTACTTTTGCTTTCTCTCATTTTGGGAGAAGCAGCCAATCTGAGAGGAGTTGATGTTGTTACAGGTTGGATAATTGGATCCAGTGGCTGATCAAAACACAGTTCTGCAAATATCCCAGAAATTCAACAATGAACCCTTTCAGAAAATATTTCATTCTCAGCTGATGTTGGTTGGAAGATGGTGTCATCAAGGTAAACATGTTTTTTGAATCCTCTCTGTCCCTAGCTTGTCTCATGTGAACAGTGCTCTTACCCGTTGTGGTACCAGAAGTCAAAGTCATACAACAAAAAGCAGCTAAGATCCAATTTCAATGGGGGCTCAAGGACCCACTTGCATTAACCCAATTTCCCAATTTTGGAATGAAGGCTTTGCAAAACTCCTGGTTTTGCTTAACTTCATGTACCTAAGTGGTCCCTCAAAGACAGAAGATTTGCCCGGGCTTAAGATCAGCATGTACACCCATGATCTGCTAGTTTAGGACCATACAAGGGCCGATAATCTGATTACACATTCATATTTGATAGAAACATTCAGGAACACGGACACCTTCTGATCATGAAGTTCATTTATCCTGGCGGAGCAGCATGTCATATGATCTCTTCCCTGACCTTACCAAGCTCAGGATAGCTCCGTGCTAAAGAAGTTCTGGCTTTCGACTCTGATTCTTGAGGAGTTCCTGAAGCAGGTCCTTAATGTGCCTCCTGATCCCTTTGATTGCTTTGAGTGATTCAGGGTTTCTCAGAAGAGAAACATTTCAAAGTACTTTTAAATCAAGCTTTACCATTTTTCTGTTCATGCACACTCAAATGGCTGAGTCCAAAGCCATATAGTACAGGCATGCACATGTGGCTCATCATATTTTCAAATGAATGTCATTCATTTTAAAATGATAACACCTAAAAGTATGCATATGGAGAACAGGGAGAATAATTCATAAGTAATAATCATTACATAATGATTTGGTTCAGCAATACACTGTCAATTAACACATGTAGCAAAGTGCTTGGGTTTCCAATTAATAGAGCCCAGATCAACTATCTAAGAGCACTGCTCTTGACATTTGATCAGTACCACGTTTTGAGTTCCTGGAGAAGCCTTAAAGGTTAGTGCTATATTTCATTCTTCTGAGCTCTGCATTCAAAAGCTCAGTTCCCTGAAGCATCACCTGGCGCCAAGGAAAGGCAGTCATTATTTAAATCACATTCTGACATAAGCTGTGCTGAAGTCTCACTTGGCATCTTCTTCTCAGGCAAAATCACTACCTTCAAGAATGGTTTAAATCAGACGAAGTACTTTTGCATACAGGTGCAAGAAGAGTAGAGAAGAGAGGGATATGATGAGCCCTGGATTGCGACTTGGCCACCAAAAGGAGCAGATGGAAAGAAATCCAACTGGGAGGGCAGAAGCGGAGGTAAAAGGTCATTTTCTATCCCCAGTAGCACAATCTGAGAAACAGAGAAACAAAACAAGAAATTGGGCGTTTGAGGTACAGGAAGAGGACTTGTAGGAGTGCCATGGGTGGAGGGATAACTGCCCTGCTTAAGCCAGTTATTGGGCATTGGGACACCATGTGAAACCCTGCTCTGGCCCTAGTGTGCAGTGGCAGTGCAGCACCAACCTGGCTGTAGAGGGAAGGATGATGGGGTAACTACTAGGGACAACTTTGTGTGTGATTTGCTCCTTCTCCAGAGCGTGAGATGGCCTGGGGAGAAAGCCTTCACTACAGCACCAAGGTATAAACAACTCTTGTCTGCACCCTGGGAAGTGCTAAGGAGAGAAGCTTGTGCTGAGCACCTGCTATATATGTGGGGTGACTCCTGCCCCAGGCTGGGGGAGACATAGAGGAAGCAGAATGGCAATACCTGTAACAGAAGGTTGAATCCCTGGCACAAGAACTGAAGAGACTCTTGTGAAAGGACAGTGGGAGAAACTGTGTCTGATGACTATTCCTGATAAAACACTAAGGAAGAGTATTCACTATGATCCAAAGCCTGATCTGCTGAGAACTGAGGGGAAGCAAAGCTTGTCTGTGCTTCTGGCAAGCTGCATGCTGGCTGAAAACAATAGACTGTCCTACAGGCCATTCTCGTGATTCACTGGATGACATAGTTGTTGTCCCAAAACACTGTCCTTTGGGGATTAGAAGACGAAATATGTATGTGCAAAGACTAAAAATACCTCTGCATCCCTTGTGACTGCCTGACAAAAGGACAGCTTCAGCAGATGTACCTACGCAGCAGGTCTGGGTCCTGCAGAGAAGACACTTCTCTGTGCTTGCAGTGTTCATCATTACACAGTAAGAGACTGTTAAAAATAGCCTGTACTACACGTCTTTTAAGATCAGTCAAGGAGGACTTACAAAACCATCCCAGGTGCCTTTTTACACATGCAGCTGTGTATGTGTTGTTTTTCCTGGTTTATACAAGTTGAGAAGTGATTGAAGACATAATTTGTAGCATGGTGTAAGATATAAAATAAATAATCAGGTGTCCCCTAAATACCTGATTTTTAACTCTGCTTCTAAGGTGGGATCTGATGTTTACTGCAACATGGAGAATGAGACAGTAGGGGTATTTTAGTTTGTCAAGTAAAGCTTTGCCAGCTTTATTGCTATCATCTAGTAAATAAAACAAGCCATGTTATTGAAGCAGTTGTGTCTAATAGCGGGGTTGTTTTATTTTTGGTTTTGGTTTGTTTTTATAAATATAGGATAAAGAGCTTCAGAATAATAACTTTTTGATTTCATACAATTGTACTGCAAAAATATCTTTAGTACCTTACTAAAAGTGGTGATGAAATCCAAAACAAGAAATGGGATGAATATACGAATTTACAAGGCTATAATGGTCTGAGCTGGGAAAGGAGCTGCTGCTGTATTTGAATATATAGTCCTAATGAAAGAATAAAGAATCAAGAAGCAGGTATCCTTTCTCACTGATCCAGACTCTTAACACCTTAACAAAGTTCACACTTTCTGTGAACTTTGAAAGAAGAGTTTCAAGTAATAGTGATGACATCTGGTTTGTTGTTTGTGTTCCTGAAACTTCTTGCCTGTAATTGCACAGAATAATCAGATTGCACTCTTGGCTGCTTGCTTTTAAATTAGCATTCCAAGTCAAAATAGAGAATTTTGTTAACACAGTCACAGAGTGGCAGACTTTTAGGTTTCGCTTTCACTCCTAATGCCAAAAATTCTTCAAAGACTTAGTCTTCTCAAAAGAATAGTTAAAAGGAAAAAAATGGGGTTGAAGTGCTTGCAGAGACAGCTTTTGCAGAAGAGAAAGCTCCTGTGTCTAGTCTGCTTGTGCAAATCTAGCCCCAAGGTAAGTTTTTAGTCTCAGCCAGCCTCAGTATCTTATCACACCATAAATGGATCCACCCAGGCTAAATTGATGTGCATCACAGGAACAGGCTTTCACAGCTCACAGGGCTGCTGACAGCAATGAACTGGGCAGAATGAGAAGCTTCCATGCCTGAGCTATCAGCTGAGTGCCCTTTATCAGCTCTGGATTCACACCAGACTGAAGGTGCTAAGGAAAAGTGATAAGCATGTGAGGAGTGGTTGTACACCCATCCTCACAGACTCTCACTCTCTCCATAGAGACACACAGACATATATTTATGTGTGCATATATAGATGCTTATATAAATACATCATATTGCTTCATAATAACACCATTTACATGTCTTATATATATGTAGTCTATAGTATATATATTTTATGACTACTTCTCTCTTTATATGTCTATGGGTGTCTGTCTACGTACACACACACACACACACCCATAACCACAGCATATTTTGAATTCCAGGGGTACTGGAATTTCCTGGGACTCGTGAGAAGGACACAGTAATGCAGCCAAACTGTGCGTGCTGTGCAGAGCTGCCCACCATCTTCTTGAGAAATGCTTGTTTACAGTCTACCAGGTAAACTGTTATGTACTAGGCTGCAAGTACCAACAGACACTGCTGGTGATTTGGCAAACCAAGGTTGAAGCAGGTGATCACAAAGCTTTGCCTTGAAGACACTCCTAACCCATGAGAAGCTTCGAAGATTAGATCTTCACATCCATTCGCTCTCAATGCAATCAGATGGGAGCATGATACAACCCACATTGACAAGGGATTAAGTCAAAGTGTGGGCGTCCATTGGCTACTGGCAATGGGTACTGCACTGGTAGTCAGTACGATGTGATGGAGCAATGCATAGGTTTGCCAGCTAGCCCTAGGCATTGTCACTGGCTGCAAGGTCTGCTCTCCTGTCCAGCTTTCTATCAGAGAATCGCAGCTGGTAAAGTTCCCCGAGTGAGTGGATGGATGGATGGTGTCTTGGGTGACATGGTTTAGTGTGAGATGTCCCTGCCCATGGCAGGGGGGGTTGAACTGATTGATCTTAAGGTCCTTTCCAACCCAAACCATTCTGTGATTTTATGATTCTATGATATGCCCCTCATGCCAGCTTAAGTACCTGGAAAAGGAGGATCAGGCCTGCAGGTTCCAGTCATCCTGTCATCATGGCTTCACAGTGCAGTAGGACAGCTATTTACACAGGTGGCTTCATGTGAGCTTACCAGTCATGATTCATTCTGCAATTCCACTACATAGACTTAGAGATTACAGTAGAGTTCACAAAGATAGATAAGGAGAAGGATTCTATTATTTACATCTGATAGGTCTTAAGTATGATATAAAAGTCTGTTCTGCTGCTCAGGTACACAGCACAGAAAGCAGTGGAGCAAGCAGCTGGGATACAGCAGGAACCACAAGCCCTGGATCTCCCCAAAGTGAAGGAGGATTGTGTTGGGTGCTCTGCCGTCCTGTCTGGCACTTGCCATGATGTAGAACATTGCACAGCAGGGCATGAAAATATACAGAACTCAAACTTTGATTCGCAGATTTGCATAGGGCTAAGCTGTGTTGTTACTTCTAACCATCAGGCCAGGAAGAACAACAGACATCAGACTCTTTGTCTGAGTCCTCAACAACTGAGTCCTCAAGTCAGTCCTCTGAGTTCCCCCAGATTAGTCCTTCATCCAGATCCAGTAACTACAGTTGAATTTGAGGGTATCCTACAGAGAAATATTGACTGAAAACTTCTTCAGGAGTGGCAACTCAATGGCAATCATCATTCTTCTTAGTGAAAATAATTATATTGTATTTCCTGCTTCAACTTGTCTATCAACTGTAAATGCTGAAGGCTGTTGTATCTTTATCTGTAACATCAAAACCCTTTGACAGGTTCTTACAGACCATTTAGAGAGAACAAGTAGATTTTGCATCTCGTGTAAGAGGCTAACGCAGACCTTCAGACAGTATTGGTCTGTGCTGAAATTTCTCTGATTTTATAATATCCCTCTTGGAGAGTGAAGTCCGGGACTGGACACCATATTCCAGCTGCACTCGTGACAGGTATGGAAGCAACAAACCTTATTGAGCTCCTTTTCAGTGACAAGATGGGGACTACATTCGAGAAGAGCATTGACTCTGAAGGTCCTAACATCATATTGCGGTTTCATTACAACTGATTATCTGCGCGTGAGCCTTAATCCCTTCCAGGATTACGCTGCAAGACAGAAAACCTTATCAAGCAAACATGACCTGCATTTTTTTGTTTCTAGATACGTTGTGTTTTACTGAACTGAAATACACATTATTTGCTTGTGCCAATATTTTTACCAATTCCTGCAATATTGTCAATAAAGTTTGTTTTCTTCTGGATCTCTCCTGAAAAGGACAAAGATCCAGTGTCCAATTTGTCCTATCTTTTATCTCAGTCAGAACACACATCAAAATTAAGCAAGCTTCCTTACACAAGTCGAAGTGTATTGCTGTAATTACCTCATGTCTATCAACAAAACTTCTCAAGCCAATTTAACATTACTTTTAAAATGAGCATGTAATGTCTTTCACCAATCTAGGTTATGCAACACTAATCTTATTACCTTCCTTTAGTTATTTATTAGTGGATTGCTGTACCAGTTCTTCCAATGCTGTTGGAAACCGACAGGTCAGTAATTAAGGGGCCATGAAGCACCGTCCAATGAACTGAGCTCAGACAGGGTGCTGCTGAAACTTGAGGAGCAGCACAACTCACACCATGTGTGTCAAGCATAAAGTAATCAGACCAAGACCTCTTAAGGTCTGACAGACTTGTCTGGTGCAGGGAGGCAGAACCATGAATGCCTCTGAGGCAACTGGCAGCAGGAAGGCACCATGGGCTCATCCTTTCTCACCTGCACTGCTCACAGCCCAGGACCCCATTCCAGCTCCTGTCACCATGAAATGCAGCTTGGCCCTGTCCTGCAGATCCCCAGACCAAGGATCCCATAGCCTGGGGCTGACAAAATCTCCCGTTACATCTAGGGCAGAGAGCACAGGGGCTGAGCAAAGTCCCACGTCTGCCCCACTCCGGGTCTGTGCATCACCCTGGCGATGGAGGAGGGAAGCAAAGGCACATCAAACCGCAGGGACAGGCCTGATCTAAGTCAGTCACCACCAATTCTGCTGCCTTTCTTCCTCTCTGTACACATACATAAAAGACAATAAGTAAAACATATATATTCATATATATATAAAAACACACCCACATATACACACACAATCCCCCCACATATCCTTTCTAAGAACAGTCTGAAAATCCTGTTTGCAGTTTTCTAGAGATCTCTAGAAATCACACAGGAAGGCAATGGTGTAAAGCTATGGTCAGAAAGCAGTTTACCTTTCCAATTACTCTTTGATAAACTGAGTGATGTTTGCTTAATGAAAAGGTAACGCCTATTTGCCAAAGAAACAGTTGCAGGAGGAGAGTAATGGGAGATGCCCCTCTTCATATTGCTGTGATGCCGAGGGGAATGTTTCCTACCCTACTCCCTTTATTCTGCTTTTAAGCAGTTGCTGGTGTTCAAATAATACTTCTATGATCTGTACTGGTGTGTGAAGGCACCTTGAGGTTCTCTTCTTTGGAGGGTTCATAATTCTAACTGGAGATGTGGCCAGCGCAGCTTCCAGGTAGAGAGAGTGGATGCTATAAGCAGACAACCCTTAGGACAGTGTCCCAAGGGTTGCCCTGACTGAAAATCCTGTAGCCCAGAAGCAGAAATACACAGCCAAAGCCCAGAGTAAAAGCAATCCAACTCTGCATAAGCTGCCAAAAAAAGCATCAGCCTGGACTGTTCAAGAGCAGGCTGGCATGGGAGCCCACGCAGGCAGCGCTGCTGAGAGAGCCTTGGGAAAGGCATTCCTGGAAACAAAACACCCACTCGTGGTTTTCCTGAACGATGACATCTCCTGAAGGAACAGCCTCCCCTGGGGCCTGGGGAGGAGGATGAGGTAACCAGCCAAACCCCTGCTCTGTGTAAGGGCTGAGCCTGTACAGCACAGACAGCACAATACTGCTGGAGCAGGGCACTGTGGTCTTCTCCTGAACAGTCTGCTCAATGGCTGAGCACAGCCTCAGCAAGCTCGCACCAGAAGCTAAGCTAAGGGACATCATGCAGAGCCCAGCTCCTGTCCATAGCGCCCAGTCATGCTCTTGGTATTGATTCCCTGGAGCAGGGAAACCCTCATAGAGTAGGCACAGGCCCAGATGTGTGTTTGTGGTTTAGGAGGTGAGCTGGAGGCTTGTCCCCAGTGAGCACCACTCCTGGGCCT